TATTTATGGAAAATTCTAGATATCAACCTAGTCTAGATATCAACCTAGTTGTAGACATCATATCAAGGAGATACCATTAGAAGACTCTAGATGTCGCCCCGCCAGAAGAAGTTAAATATTGCGCCTAAATATATGCGCTATTTATATACGTCACAGCAGAAATGGACGACACGCCATTTCTTTAAATGAAATAAACTGCTGCTATATGTATGTATGTACATATGTATTTTTATACCACAGTATAGACAGTAACCAACATTTTTGGGTTGTTGTTGTAGTTATATTCACTCCTGAGGAAGGCACGGGGTTGTGTGCTGCTATTTCATGGCCTTCCTCAGACTTTTTCTTAGATTTCAGGGTTGTGTGCTGCATTATTATTAGATAAATAAATTTAAGTATTTGACAAATCGAGATTTTATTAAAAGAAAATTATAAATGGTGTTGAAAAACCAAACAAACGCTCGTGCGAAAGCTCTATTTTTGTGTATTGTTAAAATTTATACATGGCGTATTGATGGTAATAACAAGCAATTTATTCTTTTGTGGACTTTATGTTACTTGAGAATTTAGACAACGTGCGAACAGCCAGGTTCAGTTATCAATATAATTAACACGAGCTTTTCCGCGTGGTTGCCTTTCAATAAATAGTATAAACAAATATTCGCAAATGAATTGGGTTTATTTTATAACTGACAACTAACGTACGCTTTTTGTTCTATTCTCCATTTTGATTTTGGCTTTTATTACCGCCAACCATTTTATGTGTACACATATTTACAAGCTGTCAAAATTTTGCGTAGTCCCACGAGCTAGGTAAAAACTATGGCATTCGTATTCACAACGAGAAATCTCAAAATTTTTGTTTGGTCTTTCCAAATTTTCTCTTTTTTATCAGTTGGTAAAGGCCCTCAGTGGCAGCGCTCGGAGCGTTGAGATAGTAATTTCATGCCAATTAGTAGAAAAGTTCCACGTTGAAAAAACTTTTTATTATGGCGAGAAAATTTTACATTTCTGCTGTGCCAATTCGGAACTTTTTACTGCTGGAAATTTTTGACAGTTGCTCTGGTGCAAAAGAAGTTGAGCAATTAAAATCAGGAATTATACAAAAAAGACTTGTCTTTACTGACATTTATTCTTCTAGAACTAAAAGCCATGCGTTTATTAGACGCCTTAGTAATAAAATTAGAACAAAATAATTCTTCAAAACCGTCAGGCCGGGTTGAAAATTTTCATTCACCTCATAGTTAAAAAAAAATTTACAATCCGTAGTACTTTTCTATCTATTCGCAAATGCCGTTTGCACAAAAAAGGTTACGAAATGCGTGTTATTTAAATCGTTTAGAAAATGAGTCATTTATGTATACCATTTTATGTGGAATTATTCAATAAATTTCGTTTTACATTATACTTTTTAAAACTATTTGGAGTTAATTATTTTTTGTTTCTTAAAAGTAATCCTGCGTGCTTGGAAGGCGTGTGTAACAATAAATTCATCGCTAGCACATTCATCCCAGAGGAAGGCAGTCGCCAAATTCACCGAAGGTTGTTTACTGGTTATATTGTGGTTTATACTAAACTAGCAGACCCGGCGAACTTCGTCCCGCCCAAAATAAATTTTTTGTACACGGTCAAAAATTTGGGTTTAATTTTTAAACCGCGCTGGGACTACTGCCTTTTTTAATATTTTATAGTCTACTTTTTAAACCAGTCAATAGTTTTAAGCAATTTTTAATATATTTGGGTTTAAATTTTGGTCCGAAAATTTCGTGGTTTAAAAATCAAACCAAAATGTTTTCATTCTTTTTATTAATTTTGATGAGCTTCTTTGGCCTAGTTGGTGATTAGTGCAAGTAAAAACAAGGTTTTTTCTTCACTGCTTTGCCCTACGTTTCGCTAAACTCCTTAGCATCCTCAGGGGCCAATCTTTATTTTAAATTAACAAACAAAAGAAGATACAAACAAAAACAATTAGGAACAAAAGTTGAATTGAACATGTAGTTAATAAGGTCTCAATATTTGAATTTATCACGCAGCAAATATATACACTTACTTTCATATACGTATATTTGTTAACATATAAACACATAAACATATAAACACTTAAAAGCTAGAGCATTGTACCATTATCGTTTGGTACACTTGTCATACTGATTTTCTTGTCACAAACATAATAAATAAGTAGCCGCAATATCATCTGTGTCTTCTTTTGTATTCATCGTTCTTTTTCTATTATGTATTCTAATATGCGAAGGCTCTCTAGTGTGTATCTTGTCCTCTCTCTCTTTTCAACATCTATTATTCTGGCATTTGCAAGATCAGCTGTGTGACTGTTTTCTAACATATGTTGTGCAAGTGCTGTGTTTTTCTTTTCCTTTCTTATGTTCGCTTCGTGTTCTGCTAAACGGATTCCCAGTGTTCTTTTCGTTGTACCTATATATATTTTGTTGCAGTCTACATTTTATCCTCCCATGCATTTCACTTCGTACACCACGTTGCTTTGTTGGTAGGTTTCGATCGGGCTTTTAGTTTTTGTGAAGATTGTGGACAGTGTGCAATTTGACTTGTACGCCAGAGTTATGTTTTTCTTATGTTCGTTTATGTTGTGGTTGAATTTGTCCGTCAACTTAGGTATGTATGTAACGCTAAAGTATTGTTTTGTTTCAGTTGTTGTTGCGGTGGGTGTTATTTTATTTTCTTTGTTGTTTACTTCTGTTAATTTTTGTTCTATTCGAGTTTTTTTAAGGTGACTGGGGTAATTGTTTGTGAGGATTTTGTAGATTTTCTTTGTATTTTCATCTAAAAATTGTTTGTGGGGTTATGGTCAGTATTTTATTTATCAAATTTTTTGCTGCGTTAATTTTATATTTCATGGGTTGCGAGGACAGAAAATTTATTATTCGTCCAGACGATATAGGCTTGGAGTACCAGTCAAGTAATATTTCGTCATTTTTTCTATGGATGAGGATGTCTAAAAAGGGGATCTTGAAATTTTTTTCCCTTTCAATAGTAAATTGCAGCTTGTTGTGATACCGGTTTTAATGTTTACAGAATAATATCTACGTCGTATCGTTTCACTATCGCGAAGATGTCGTCCACGTGCTTAACTATGAATTTGATGTCAATGTTGTGAAGTTTCTTTAATTCCGAGATTGTATTATCCAATAAGTCGTCCATGATTATATCTGCTATAGTCGGGGAGAGGGGATTACCCATCGGCATCCCAAAACTTTGTGTGTAGATTTTGCCATCGTACATGAAATAATTGTTATCTTTAAGACAGAAGTTTAAGAGATCCAAAAACTTGTTTTTTGGTATGTTTGTTCTAGACATAATTTGACTGAATTTGCTCATTATTATTTTGATGGCTAGATATGTGGGAATGTTGGTGAATAACAACACCACGCCAAATGATACTAATAAGTCCTCATCACATAAACGCACCTTCTCTAATGTTTCTTTCAGTCTCAATGAGTTTCGTATGTTGTATTCCTCCGACGTTAAGTCACCTAAGAATTTTCCAATAAATTTTGACAGACCATAACACGGGACACTGACAGATGACGCTATAGGACGTAGGGGTAAGTTCGGTTTATGGATTTTTGGTAAACCATAGAGCCGAGGCGCAGTCGCTGCGGTGCAGGTAAGTTGTTTCTTTTCTTTAATATTTATATTTTTGTTTTTGTAAAGTTCGCCGACCAATTTATTATTCTGTTTTTGTAGTTTGTTATTATTTTGTTTCTTGCTATTCTATATGTGTTTTTGTCTCCTAGCAAGCTATTCATTTTTTCCCTATAATCTGTTTTATATATTGCTACTGTTTTGTTTCCTTTGTCTGAGTCTGTTATAATAATGTCCTCCTTGTGTTTTTGTAAAAAGGCTTTAGTTTTGTCGAAAGTGTGAAGTATGAATTTTTCCACTGGGTTATGTTTTGATTGCCGTTTGTATTGCAATATTCTGTTGCTTAGCCTGCTTCTCTCCATTTCTTTTGTTCTCTCATCCTCTATTTGGTGTATTATTTGTTCCATTTCGGCAATAATTTTTATCGGCTGCAGACTGGTACTTGTTGTAGGAATTGTAAATTTCCTACCGAGAGAGAGCAACCATTTCACTTCTTCGGGAAAATGTATGTTGGTTTTGTTTATGAACCAGTCGCTGTTTACACAGATACCCAGATTTTGTAATTGTTTATATTTTAGCCTCTCCAATTTCTGTGCCTGTATTGTTTCCTGTTCTTTTGCAACTCTCTGGCTTAGAAGGGTTTGGTCGGAAAAGAAAGAGTTTAAATCGATTTCACTAAGGTTGCGCTTTAATTGTCGTTCAGTATACCCCATTTGGTCTCTTGTAGATTTGATGTTTATATTTGTCTGTGTGATTTCTATGTTCAGTAATTTTTTGAGAAATAATCGTTTCGCCTTCTCTATTTGTTGCTTTATATTTGGTGATGTGGTTTCTATTGTTATTCTCGTAGCTGCATTTGTCAAGTGGTTGGGTATTATATCGTATTTTCTGCATTCCAGAAAGAATTTTAGTTGTGCTGTTAGTCTTGTTAGTTTTTGTTTTTGTTTGCTGTAATGCTTTAGGTTCATGCATGTATGCTCCCCGTATTTATACTTCATATGTTTGTAGTAATGTCTCATGTTCCCTTGTTTCCTCCTTCGTTGATGTTAAAATAAAATAAACAAAAAGATCTTTATCGGCAGGCTCTCCGAAATATATTTAATATAATTTCTTATTTTCTGGCCAATTTTCTTCGTAAATTTTATTAATTTTGATGAGCTTCTTTGGCCTAGTTGGTGATTAGTGCAAGTAAAAACAACGTTTTTTCTTCACTGCTTTGCCCTACGTTTCGCTAAACTCCTTAGCATCCTCAGGGGCCAATCTTTATTTTAAATTAACAAACAAAAGAAGATACAAACAAAAACAATTAGGAACAAAAGTTACATTGAACATGTAGTTAATAAAGTCTCAATATTTGAATTTATCACGCAGCAAATATATACACTTACTTTCATATACGTATATTTGTTAACATATAAACACATAAACATATAAACACTAAAACATAAACACTTAAAAGCTAGAGCATTGTACCATTATCGTTTGGTACACTTGTCATACTGATTTTCTTGTCACAAACATAATAAATAAGTAGCCGCAATATCATCTGTGTCTTCTTTTGTATTCATCGTTCTTTTTCTATTCTCTAATATGCGAAGGCTCTCTAGTGTGTATCTTGTCCTCTCTCTCTTTTCAACATCTATTATTCTGGCGTTTGCAAGATCAGCTGTGTGACTGTTTTCTAACATATGTTGTGCGAGTGCTGTGTTTTTCTTTTCCTTTCTTATGTCCGCTTCGTGTTCTGGTAAACGGATTCCCAGTGTTCTTTTCGTTGTACCTATATATATTTTGTTGCAGTCTACATTTTCTCCTCCCATGCATTTCACTTCGTACACCACGTTGCTTTGTTGGTAGGTTTCGATCGGACTTTTAGTTTTTGTGAAGATTGTGGACAGTGTGCAATTTGACTTGTACGCCAGAGTTATGTTTTTCTTATGTTCGTTTATGTTGTGGTTGAATTTGTCCGTCAACTTAGGTATGTATGTAACGCTAAAGTATTGTTTTGTTTCAGTTGTTGTTGCGGTGGGTGTTATTTTATTTTCTTTGTTGTTTACTTCTGTTAATTTTTGTTCTATTAGAGTTTTTATGAGGTGACTGGGGTAATTGTTGTTTGTGAGGATTTTGTAGATTTTCTTTGTATTTTCATCTAAAAATTGTTTGTGGCTTATGGTCAGTATTTTATTTATCAAATTTTTTGCTGCGTTAATTTTGTATTTCATGGGTTGCGAGGACAGAAAATTTATTATTCGTCCAGACGATATAGGCTTGGAGTACCAGTCAAGTAATATTTCGTCATTTTTTCTATGGATGAGGACGTCTAAAAAGGGGATCTTGAAATTTTCCTCTCTTTCAATAGTAAATTGCAGCTTGTTGTGGTACCGGTTTAATGTTTTCAGAATAATATCTACGTCGTTTCGTTTCACTATCGCGAAGATGTCGTCCACGTACTTAACTATGAATTTGATGTCAATGTTGTGAAGTTTCTTTAATTCCGAGATTGTATTATCCAATAAGTCGTCCATGATTATATCTGCTATAGTCGGGGAGAGGGGATTACCCATCGGCATCCCAAAACTTTGTGTGTAGATTTTGCCATCGTACATGAAATAATTGTTATCTTTAAGACAGAAGTTTAAGAGATCCAAAAACTTGTTTTTTGGTATGTTTGTTCTAGACATAATTTGACTGAATTTGCTCATTATTATTTTGATGGCTAGATATGTGGGAATGTTGGTGAATAATGACACCACGTCAAATGATACTAATAAGTCCTCTTCACATATACGCACCTTCTCTAATCTTTCTTTCAGTCTCAATGAGTTTCGTATGTTGTATTCCTCCGACGTTAAGTCACCTAAGAATTTTCCAATAAATTTTGACAGACCATAACACGGGACACTGACAGATGACGCTATAGGACGTAGGGGTAAGTTCGGTTTATGGATTTTTGGTAAACCATAGAGCCGAGGCGCAGTCGCTGCGGTGCAGGTAAGTTGTTTCTTTTCTTTAATATTTATATTTTTGTTTTTGTAAAGTTCGCCGACCAATTTATTATTCTGTTTTTGTAGTGCATTTGTTGGATCATTTCTTGCTATTCTATATGTGTTTTTGTCTCCTAGCAAGCTATTCATTTTTTCCCTATAATCTGTTTTATATATTGCTACTGTTTTGTTTCCTTTGTCTGAGTCTGTTATAATAATGTCCTCCTTGTGTTTTTGTAAAAAGGCTTTAGTTTTGTCGAAAGTGTGAAGTATGAATTTTTCCACTGGGTTATGTTTTGATTGCCGTTTGTATTGCAATATTCTGTTGCTTAGCCTGCTTCTCTCCATTTCTTTTGTTCTCTCATCCTCTATTTGGTGTATTATTTGTTCCATTTCGGCAATAATTTTTATCGGCTGCAGACTGGTACTTGTTGTAGGAATTGTAAATTTCCTACCGAGAGAGAGCAACCATTTCACTTCTTCGGGAAAATGTATGTTGGTTTTGTTTATGAACCAGTCGCTGTTTACACAGATACCCAGATTTTGTAATTGTTTATATTTTAGCCTCTCCAATTTCTGTGCCTGTATTGTTTCCTGTTCTTTTGCAACTCTCTGGCTTAGAAGGGTTTGGTCGGAAAAGAAAGAGTTTAAATCGATTTCACTAAGGTTGCGCTTTAATTGTCGTTCAGTATACCCCATTTGGTCTCTTGTAGATTTGATGTTTATATTTGTCTGTGTGATTTCTATGTTCAGTAATTTTTTGAGAAATAATCGTTTCGCCTTCTCTATTTGTTGCTTTATATTTGGTGATGTGGTTTCTATTGTTATTCTCGTAGCTGCATTTGTCAAGTGGTTGGGTATTATATCGTATTTTCTGCATTCCAGAAAGAATTTTAGTTGTGCTGTTAGTCTTGTTAGTTTTTGTTTTTGTTTGCTGTAATGCTTTAGGTTCATGCATGTATGCTCCCCGTATTTATACTTCATATGTTTGTAGTAATGTCTCATGTTCCCTTGTTTCCTCCTTCGTTGATGTTAAAATAAAATAAACAAAAAGATCTTTATCGGCAGGCTCTCCGAAATATATTTAATATAATTTCTTATTTTCTGGCCAATTTTCTTCGTAAATTTTATTAATTTTGATGAGCTTCTTTGGCCTAGTTGGTGATTAGTGCAAGTAAAAACAACGTTTTTTCTTCACTGCTTTGCCCTACGTTTCGCTAAACTCCTTAGCATCCTCAGGGGCCAATCTTTATTTTAAATTAACAAACAAAAGAAGATACAAACAAAAACAATTAGGAACAAAAGTTACATTGAACATGTAGTTAATAAAGTCTCAATATTTGAATTTATCACGCAGCAAATATATACACTTACTTTCATATACGTATATTTGTTAACATATAAACACATAAACATATAAACACTAAAACATAAACACTTAAAAGCTAGAGCATTGTACCATTATCGTTTGGTACACTTGTCATACTGATTTTCTTGTCACAAACATAATAAATAAGTAGCCGCAATATCATCTGTGTCTTCTTTTGTATTCATCGTTCTTTTTCTATTCTCTAATATGCGAAGGCTCTCTAGTGTGTATCTTGTCCTCTCTCTCTTTTCAACATCTATTATTCTGGCGTTTGCAAGATCAGCTGTGTGACTGTTTTCTAACATATGTTGTGCGAGTGCTGTGTTTTTCTTTTCCTTTCTTATGTCCGCTTCGTGTTCTGGTAAACGGATTCCCAGTGTTCTTTTCGTTGTACCTATATATATTTTGTTGCAGTCTACATTTTCTCCTCCCATGCATTTCACTTCGTACACCACGTTGCTTTGTTGGTAGGTTTCGATCGGACTTTTAGTTTTTGTGAAGATTGTGGACAGTGTGCAATTTGACTTGTACGCCAGAGTTATGTTTTTCTTATGTTCGTTTATGTTGTGGTTGAATTTGTCCGTCAACTTAGGTATGTATGTAACGCTAAAGTATTGTTTTGTTTCAGTTGTTGTTGCGGTGGGTGTTATTTTATTTTCTTTGTTGTTTACTTCTGTTAATTTTTGTTCTATTAGAGTTTTTATGAGGTGACTGGGGTAATTGTTGTTTGTGAGGATTTTGTAGATTTTCTTTGTATTTTCATCTAAAAATTGTTTGTGGCTTATGGTCAGTATTTTATTTAACAAATTTTTTGCTGCGTTAATTTTGTATTTCATGGGTTGCGAGGACAGAAAATTTATTATTCGTCCAGACGATATAGGCTTGGAGTACCAGTCAAGTAATATTTCGTCATTTTTTCTATGGATGAGGACGTCTAAAAAGGGGATCTTGAAATTTTCCTCTCTTTCAATAGTAAATTGCAGCTTGTTGTGGTACCGGTTTAATGTTTTCAGAATAATATCTACGTCGTTTCGTTTCACTATCGCGAAGATGTCGTCCACGTACTTAACTATGAATTTGATGTCAATGTTGTGAAGTTTCTTTAATTCCGAGATTGTATTATCCAATAAGTCGTCCATGATTATATCTGCTATAGTCGGGGAGAGGGGATTACCCATCGGCATCCCAAAACTTTGTGTGTAGATTTTGCCATCGTACATGAAATAATTGTTATCTTTAAGACAGAAGTTTAAGAGATCCAAAAACTTGTTTTTTGGTATGTTTGTTCTAGACATAATTTGACTGAATTTGCTCATTATTATTTTGATGGCTAGATATGTGGGAATGTTGGTGAATAATGACACCACGTCAAATGATACTAATAAGTCCTCTTCACATATACGCACCTTCTCTAATCTTTCTTTCAGTCTCAATGAGTTTCGTATGTTGTATTCCTCCGACGTTAAGTCACCTAAGAATTTTCCAATAAATTTTGACAGACCATAACACGGGACACTGACAGATGACGCTATAGGACGTAGGGGTAAGTTCGGTTTATGGATTTTTGGTAAACCATAGAGCCGAGGCGCAGTCGCTGCGGTGCAGGTAAGTTGTTTCTTTTCTTTAATATTTATATTTTTGTTTTTGTAAAGTTCGCCGACCAATTTATTATTCTGTTTTTGTAGTGCATTTGTTGGATCATTTCTTGCTATTCTATATGTGTTTTTGTCTCCTAGCAAGCTATTCATTTTTTCCCTATAATCTGTTTTATATATTGCTACTGTTTTGTTTCCTTTGTCTGAGTCTGTTATAATAATGTCCTCCTTGTGTTTTTGTAAAAAGGCTTTAGTTTTGTCGAAAGTGTGAAGTATGAATTTTTCCACTGGGTTATGTTTTGATTGCCGTTTGTATTGCAATATTCTGTTGCTTAGCCTGCTTCTCTCCATTTCTTTTGTTCTCTCATCCTCTATTTGGTGTATTATTTGTTCCATTTCGGCAATAATTTTTATCGGCTGCAGACTGGTACTTGTTGTAGGAATTGTAAATTTCCTACCGAGAGAGAGCAACCATTTCACTTCTTCGGGAAAATGTATGTTGGTTTTGTTTATGAACCAGTCGCTGTTTACACAGATACCCAGATTTTGTAATTGTTTATATTTTAGCCTCTCCAATTTCTGTGCCTGTATTGTTTCCTGTTCTTTTGCAACTCTCTGGCTTAGAAGGGTTTGGTCGGAAAAGAAAGAGTTTAAATCGATTTCACTAAGGTTGCGCTTTAATTGTCGTTCAGTATACCCCATTTGGTCTCTTGTAGATTTGATGTTTATATTTGTCTGTGTGATTTCTATGTTCAGTAATTTTTTGAGAAATAATCGTTTCGCCTTCTCTATTTGTTGCTTTATATTTGGTGATGTGGTTTCTATTGTTATTCTCGTAGCTGCATTTGTCAAGTGGTTGGGTATTATATCGTATTTTCTGCATTCCAGAAAGAATTTTAGTTGTGCTGTTAGTCTTGTTAGTTTTTGTTTTTGTTTGCTGTAATGCTTTAGGTTCATGCATGTATGCTCCCCGTATTTATACTTCATATGTTTGTAGTAATGTCTCATGTTCCCTTGTTTCCTCCTTCGTTGATGTTAAAATAAAATAAACAAAAAGATCTTTATCGGCAGGCTCTCCGAAATATATTTAATATAATTTCTTATTTTCTGGCCAATTTTCTTCGTAAATTTTATTAATTTTGATGAGCTTCTTTGGCCTAGTTGGTGATTAGTGCAAGTAAAAACAACGTTTTTTCTTCACTGCTTTGCCCTACGTTTCGCTAAACTCCTTAGCATCCTCAGGGGCCAATCTTTATTTTAAATTAACAAACAAAAGAAGATACAAACAAAAACAATTAGGAACAAAAGTTACATTGAACATGTAGTTAATAAAGTCTCAATATTTGAATTTATCACGCAGCAAATATATACACTTACTTTCATATACGTATATTTGTTAACATATAAACATATAAACACTAAAACATAAACACTTAAAAGCTAGAGCATTGTACCATTATCGTTTGGTACACTTGTCATACTGATTTTCTTGTCACAAACATAATAAATAAGTAGCCGCAATATCATCTGTGTCTTCTTTTGTATTCATCGTTCTTTTTCTATTCTCTAATATGCGAAGGCTCTCTAGTGTGTATCTTGTCCTCTCTCTCTTTTCAACATCTATTATTCTGGCGTTTGCAAGATCAGCTGTGTGACTGTTTTCTAACATATGTTGTGCGAGTGCTGTGTTTTTCTTTTCCTTTCTTATGTCCGCTTCGTGTTCTGGTAAACGGATTCCCAGTGTTCTTTTCGTTGTACCTATATATATTTTGTTGCAGTCTACATTTTCTCCTCCCATGCATTTCACTTCGTACACCACGTTGCTTTGTTGGTAGGTTTCGATCGGACTTTTAGTTTTTGTGAAGATTGTGGACAGTGTGCAATTTGACTTGTACGCCAGAGTTATGTTTTTCTTATGTTCGTTTATGTTGTGGTTGAATTTGTCCGTCAACTTAGGTATGTATGTAACGCTAAAGTATTGTTTTGTTTCAGTTGTTGTTGCGGTGGGTGTTATTTTATTTTCTTTGTTGTTTACTTCTGTTAATTTTTGTTCTATTAGAGTTTTTATAAGGTGACTGGGGTAATTGTTGTTTGTGAGGATTTTGTAGATTTTCTTTGTATTTTCATCTAAAAATTGTTTGTGGCTTATGGTCAGTATTTTATTTAACAAATTTTTTGCTGCGTTAATTTTGTATTTCATGGGTTGCGAGGACAGAAAATTTATTATTCGTCCAGACGATATAGGCTTGGAGTACCAGTCAAGTAATATTTCGTCATTTTTTCTATGGATGAGGACGTCTAAAAAGGGGATCTTGAAATTTTCCTCCCTTTCAATAGTAAATTGCAGCTTGTTGTGGTACCGGTTTAATGTTTTCAGAATAATATCTACGTCGTTTCGTTTCACTATCGCGAAGATGTCGTCCACGTACTTAACTATGAATTTGATGTCAATGTTGTGAAGTTTCTTTAATTCCGAGATTGTATTATCCAATAAGTCGTCCATGATTATATCTGCTATAGTCGGGGAGAGGGGATTACCCATCGGCATCCCAAAACTTTGTGTGTAGATTTTGCCATCGTACATGAAATAATTGTTATCTTTAAGACAGAAGTTTAAGAGATCCAAAAACTTGTTTTTTGGTATGTTTGTTCTAGACATAATTTGACTGAATTTGCTCATTATTATTTTGATGGCTAGATATGTGGGAATGTTGGTGAATAATGACACCACGTCAAATGATACTAATAAGTCCTCTTCACATATACGCACCTTCTCTAATCTTTCTTTCAGTCTCAATGAGTTTCGTATGTTGTATTCCTCCGACGTTAAGTCACCTAAGAATTTTCCAATAAATTTTGACAGACCATAACACGGGACACTGACAGATGACGCTATAGGACGTAGGGGTAAGTTCGGTTTATAGATTTTTGGTAAACTATAGAGCCGAGGCGCAGTCGCTGCGGTGCAGGTAAGTTGTGTCTTTTCTTTAACATTTATATTTTTGTTTTTGTAAAGTTCGCCGACCAATTTATTATTCTGTTTTTGTAGTTTGTTATTATTTTGTTTCTTGCTATTCTATATGTGTTTTTGTCTCCTAGCAAGCTATTCATTTTTCCCCTATAATCTGTTTTATATATTGCTACTGTTTTGTTTCCTTTGTCTGAGAGTCTGTTATAATAATATCCTCCTTGTGTTTTTGTAAAAAGGCTTTTGTTTTGTCGAAAGTGTGAAGTATGAATTTTTCCACTGGGTTATGTTTTGATTGCCGTTTGTATTGCAATATTCTGTTGCTTAGCCTGCTTCTCTCCATTTCTTTTGTTCTCTCATCCTCTATTTGGTGTATTATTTGTTCCATTTCGGCAATAATTTTTATCGGCTGCAGACTGGTACTTGTTGTAGGAATTGTAAATTTCCTACCGAGAGAGAGCAACCATTTCACTTCTTCGGGAAAATGTATGTTGGTTTTGTTTACGAACCAGTCGCTGTTTACACAGATACCCAGATTTTGTAATTGTTTATATTTTAGCCTCTCCAATTT